GAGAAGGAAGAGTGGAGGCCAAAGACCTCCTTTGACACAGACGGTAGGAGGAGGAAGGGAGTTGGCAAAGAAGGCCAAGAAGCAGCTCTTGGGAGGATGCCGTCGGTCAGGAGAGGCCAGAAAACAGGAACGATAATCACAGTGGCTTACAAGACCCAGGCCAGCCACTGTTCCTAATGCTGCACGTCAATCAAATCATGGACTCTTTTTGACCGTATGAGATGGCTATTGCCTTAAATTCATTTTACAGATGAGGAAACTGAGGCAAAGCGAAGTTAACCTACTTGCCCGGAGCCACACAGCTCCCAAGGAACAGAGCCAGAATTTGCCAGTTAAGAATGATTTCGGGGGAGTGCTGGAGATAGGAGCAGGTAGCTTAGACACTGTTGGCAGTAAAGGTGGGGCGGGGGATGTAGTTCAAGGATCTAGACAAAGTTATGTTACTGACAAGAAGCTGTGAGAGTGATGGACGTCGGGAAGTCAGGGAAGCCAGAGAGAGAAGGGAGAGATACAGGGGCCTTGTGGAGGAGCGAAGATTTGGAGCACCGGTTAAGTCATCCATCTTGGAAAAAAAGAGAGAAAAAATACTTATTTTTCTAAGATTGCTAACTAACTCCCAGCCTTTTCACAACCAAAGGCCATTTTTATTATTCCCTGCTTTCCAAAGAGGACCCCAAGTCTTCAAAGATTTTGATGATCTGGTTGGGCACAGTGGCTCACACCTGTAATCAATCTCAGCACTTTAGGAGGTCGAAGTGGGAGGATTGCTTGAGTCCAGGAGCTCAAGACCAGTCTGAGAAACATAGTGAGTTCTTGTCTCCACACAAATTAAAAAAAAATTAGTTAATTAATTTTAAAAAACATTTTGATGATCAACTTTAAGCTTTTATTTTAATTAAAGGATAAATTATATGCAGTGCAATGTTCCGATCTTAAGTATATTGTTCAATGAGTTTTGACTATCAACTGTAATATATTAATTCATTTCCCATATGTATTACTCAATGACATATAAAACTGCCAATCAGAATTTAAGATTATCACATCAAGTTAATGCAGTCTAGCTAAAAGTGAGGATGCCTGACAATTTAGTTAATCTATTTAGCTTGCTGGAGGCCTTTTGAAATATAGACCCATATTAGTTTATAGATCCATATCATTATCATCTAAGAGCTCTGAGAAGCCAAGAACCCCACTGGGTAAACAGGCTCAGTCAGTTATGAGAATTGACCTGAAAGAATAGGACCATTGTTGGCTAACTTTTTCTTTTTTTATTAGATAATTTTTTTTTTTTGTTTTGAGTTGGAGCCTCACTCTGTCGCCCAGGCTGGAGTACAGTGGCACACTCACAGCCACCCCAGCGTCGACCTGCTGGGCCCTGGCAATCCTTCCGCCTCAGCCTTCCAAGTAACTAGAGCTACAGGCGCACTCTACCACGCCTGGCTAATATTTTTACTTATTTTTTTATCGTAGAGATGAGGTCTCACCAAGTTGCCCTGGCTGGTCTCGAACCCTCAGGCTCAGGCAATCCACTTGCTTCAGCCTCCCAAAGTGCTGGGATTACAGGCTGAGCCGCTGAGCCTGGCCTATTATATAATTTTTAGGTGAACAAGATGATGTTTTGATATACATAGTGAAATGGCTACTACAGTCAAACAAATTAACATATTTATCATCTCACATGATTACCTTCCTTTTTTGTGGCAAGAGCATCTGAAATCTACCCTTTTAGCAAGAATCCTGAATACAATACAATAATACAAGTTGAGCATCCCTAATCCAAAAATCTAAAATCCAAAATGCTTTTTTTGGGGTGCTGACATAGTGCCACAAGAGGAGAATTCTGCACCTGATCTCTTGTGACAGGTCACAGTCAAAATGCAGTGAAAGCTTTGTTTCACCAGCCTGAAACATAGCAAGACCCCGTTGCTGCAAAACTCCTGTAGTCCCAGCTACTCAGGACGCTGAGATGGAAGGATTACCCAAGTCCAGGAGGTCACAGCTGTTGTGAGCCGTGATCCTTGTGATCATGCCACTGCATTCCAACCTGGGTGACAGTGAGACTCTGACTCAACACCCCCCCAAAAAAACTTTGTTTTATGTTCAAAAGTATTAAAAAGTATTGTATAAAATTATCTTCAGGCTATGTGTATAAGGTGCATATAAACATAAATGAATTTCTTGTTTAGACTTGGATCCCAACCCCAAGATATTTCATTATGTTTATGAAAATATTCCAAAATCTGAAATAACATTTATGGACCCAGGCATTTCAGATAAGAGATACTTAACCTGTGTTAACTACTGTCCTCATGTTGTCCATTAGCTCTCTATACCTGTTCATCTTATATATCTACAACTTTATTTCTCCTGACCCATATCTCCCCATTTTTGCCCCCCCCTCCACCGGTAACCATGTTTTTATTCTCAATGTCTGTGTATTCAATTTTTTTTTTTGTTTTTGGTTTCCACATGTAAGTAAAATAATGCAGTCTTTTTCTTTTATGACTCTGTGTTATTTTACTTACCACAGTGTCCTCTACATTATGGAAAATGTTTCATCCACATTATGGAAAATGGCGGGACCTCTTCTTTTTTTAAGGTTGAATAACATTTCATTATATATAGTGGGTATATACACTATATCTATTTATAGATCTGTTTCTTTATCCATTTGTTGATGGGTACTTCAGTTGCTTCCATATCTTGGCTGTTGTGAATAATGTGAATAAATCATGGGAGTGCAGATTTCTTTATGCAGTGGTGATTTTATTTCCTTTGAGTATATATCTAGAGGAGGGATTGTTGAGTCATATGGTAATTCTATTTTTAATTTTTTTAGGAATTTCCATACTGTTTCCCACAGTGGTTGCACTAATTCATCCTCTTACCATGTACAACTCTTGTTATCTCTTGACTATTGATAATAGCCATCCTAATAGGTGTGAGATGATCATTCACTGTGGTTTTGATTTGCATTTCATGATTGATTTGATGATTAGTAATGTTGAGCGCCTTTTCATATACCTGTGTGGCCATTTTTATGTCTTCTTTGGAGAAATGACTACTAACACGTTCTCAAAACCACTGATCTAGTGATCATAATTGATTCTCAGGAGTCAAGCTTGGCGAGTTGTGATTGTTTTATTTCTTCATAATAAAAATGATTCATAATAAGTTTTAAAATTAAGTGTAGGGGATTGAATATATATTGCTGTTATTTTTTAGATTTGATGGTGATGTGGTATTATTGTTTAAGAAGGAGTTCTTTCCTTTTAGAGATATATGCTAAAATATAAATCTGAAATCTGCAAAATAATTCCAGGTGATAGTGGGAGTGAGGGATTGCAACAAGACAGGCTTAATTGATAATTGTTGAAGTTAGTACATGCAAGTTCATGATATAATACGGTTCTGTCTACTTTTATATATGTTTAAAATTTCCATAATATAATAACGTTTAAAGGAAGGAATAAATAAAGTTAAGCATATCAGTCAAGCTTTAGTTGCATTTAACAGAGAAATTTCTATTTATGTTAAGCTAAAGGGATTTAATACAGAGAATTAAGTGCCCATAACTTTGTTAAAATTACTGGCAGAGCAGGCTCTAGGTTGAGCCTCTGGGAAAATTTAGCATAACAACACCATTCAATTGGCCTGCTAAAGTTAACTGCTATTTGGTCTCCATCAGGAAGTCAGGAAACCAGGAAGCCATTATCTCAACTGCATGCTCCCAGAACACATCATTTGAGCCACTTCTGAGGCTCAGGAATCATAACCAAAACTGTTGGCTTCAGGTCTACCTGCTGCAGCTGCACCTGCTAGAAATGTACCAGCAAAATGGATGCCTTGCTCTGTCCCCACCGCACTCTGATTGGGCGAATCTAAATCATATCTAGAGTCCTAGCTGCAAGGGACTTTGGGAAATGTAGTCTTCAACTTTCTATCCTGTGCAGAACTGGACTAGAAAGAGATGGAAAAGAAATACTGAATGGACAAATCCACCATAAAGTATTAGCAGTTATTATATCAGTACTGTTCCCATACAAGTAATACTTTCCTTATCTCCCAATCTAATATTACCTTTTTTTAGACACAGTTCAAGTTCTATCTCTTCATAAAACCTTAACTGATTTCTCTAGACCTCATTTTTTCCTCTTCTTTTCTACCTTTCTTCTCTCTTTTCTTCCTTCCTTCATGCATATATGTATATATGTAATCTTTCTGGAACTTATTCTTTGTTCTGCCATGTAGTTTGGACTCTATCAGGCAAATGTTTTATGGTACGCTGTCATTTTATATGCCTCTTGCTTAAATAGCCTTTAAGTGACTTAAGGTTAGACAAGTTCATTTGTTTATCCTCTCTTTTGATACATAGCATCATGCAGAGGAGAGAGCAAGTTTATGTATTTCACATTTGGTACTATTAATAAAATGTACCAATAAGTATACCAAGACAATGCTTGCCTTAAGTACCTCTCAAGATTGTGGTAAAAATCAGAAATGTTCTGTACTGAGTAAATTGTAATTTGTACCTATTATAAATGTTAAGAGATAGTAATTATGGTTGGGTTAAAATCAAGAACTTTACACAATGACCCCTACCTTTTAACTAATTGTTTAGGCTGATGATCTCTTCTATTTTTCAGTGAACTCTAATTCTTTGTTTCTTGAACTCAACCTGTACTTTCTGCTTCTGTGTGATTGACCATGTTTCCTTCCACCCAGAATCTGAGCTCAGGCCCCATCTACACCCACCAATTTTCTCTCCACCAAGCTGTCTGAATGGATATCAGTAAAGGGTTGGATGTCAATTTCTGGCACAAACAGTGAACCAAGCATCATCAGTGATGGTGCAGACCTGTGTTTGGTGACATAACTCAGGATAGGAAATAACTTGTTAAATGAAAAAAATATTTAAAAAACTCAATGTTTGGCATGATTTCCATTTTTGTAAATGTGTATATATTTTTATTTTTGCTCATTCTTTCATGTAACAGATATCTATTGAGTGTCTACTGTGTGCCAGGCTCTATATCTATGTGTATAGAAAAACCCTGAAAAACCGTACAGCAGTATATATACAGTGATCATCTCTACTTGCTGAGATAACAGGTGATTTTTTTCTTTTTGCTTATTTTATGCATTTGCAAAATTCTATTTTTTCACTTTTCTACATTTATTTATTAATAAGGGACTTAAAAAGGAAAACCACTTATGTTCACCAAAATGCTTACAAATAAATACTTCATGAAGAAAAGTAGGTTAAAAACAATCTAAAAACTTCAATAGTAAATTTAAAAAGAGAGAAGGGGGGAGCTAGAGACAGAGAAAGATAAAGAAAAAGATAAAGGAAAAAAGGAAGTAAAGAAGGAGGCAGGAAAAATCTTTTAACAATGCCCATTTTGGGATGGTGGAATTTCTTTTACAATGTCTGTTCTAAAGATTCTGCAGCCGGGCTTGGTGGCTCAGCTTGTAATCACGCGCCTTTGGGGGCTGAGGTGAGTGGATTGCCTGTGCCCGAGGGTTCGAGACCCGCCTGGGCAGCAAGACATCATCTCTACAATAAATCAAAAAAATCAGCCGGGTGTGGTAGCACATGCCTGTAATTCTGGCTACTTGGAAGGCTGAGGGGGAAGGATCGCTGGAGCCCAGCAAGTCGAGGCTGCGGTGGCCGGAAGCGGCCACTGCACTCCAGTCTGGGCGACAGAGTGAGACTCCAACTCAAAAAAAAAAAAAAAAAGATTCTACAGTGAGTGAGTGTTAGTTTTAGAATCAGGAAAACATTTTTTTTCAAGGTTCAGTCTAAATGTGACTTTTCTATGAAGCTGCCTGAGATCCCTGAATTTAACATTTTTCAAACTTTTTGAATCCCTGCACCACTTAGCACCCAAAATATACTTAATACATTGAATGGATCATATTTTCCAAGTGCAGCCTCAACCTTGGTGATAGGTGTCGCTGATTTTCTTAATTTTTCCCTTCATTTTTCATTTTGATTTTCAAGAACAAGTTAGGTTTCAGACAGGTTATTTTATAATAATAATAATAATTTATTCTATGCGATTAATTTGTACTGGCCTTTACCTGACACCAACCTAATTTTCATGGCCAGGACTTAAACTATTTTTTCTTTAATTTTGCTTTCTTATCCAGTTCTTGAAAACTAGTTTTACACACACACACACACACACACGCATGCACACACACACATTTTTAATATAAAAGTTTAAATTTAAGCAGTAGACTCCAGATCTATTATTAGTCATCCTTTCTCACCTCAGAAAGTTTTTGTCTGGTATCCTATTTCCTTCTAGTCTGTAGAGAGAAAAAGAGTCCTTAACCCAGATTGGGAACACCATCCACTGAATTAACTTTCTATCAGACCCGTAATGTCCCATCAGTAACCTCTGAAACAATCATACAAGAGGAAGTCAGTGTCGCAAGACTGCTGGAAATTACCCAGTCTCACCTATTTGAACAACTTTCATCAAAGGGGACCAAGAGGTGAGAGTGAGGTTCAGCCATTAATGTATTTCAGCTTTTGCAAAGTAAAGGCAGATTGTAAATCATTGTTACTGCATGAAGGCACTCAAAACAATCAGAGATGGGCCAGTCTCTAGCACCTCCACTGTGGCTAGAAGAATCGAGACATGGGTCTCAAATCGCCCTGTTTTGGCTCTCATCTTTCCAGGAGAGGATGGATGATTCCTGGAAACTGAGATATTTGAAAATATTTATACTGTGACACCTAACAAAATCCTGGAACCAGGGTTTTATTCTAAGATAGGAGACTGTGAATGAAAAGGAATAATGTGTGGCCTGTCTGTGGACAGAGAAGAGATTACTTTAAAAAGTATCATTCTAGGGTACTTTCTGTGGGTCTTCAAAATCATATAAATTGGTAACATTTCTTAGAATACTACTAGGATGCTTACTTAAATGGGCACATTGGTGTTTGATTTATAACTAGGTTACTATCATCTTATGGAATTCAGGATCAAGCAAAACATCAAACATTGCCCAAGGGGATTTGCCAATGGACGTATAAACAAAAAGCCAACTCATGGATGCTCTATATTATTCCCTGGTCACCATCACCTCACAGGGTTATCTCAGTGAGGTTCCCATGCATATGTAGGCCTTGCTTTTGAAGTTGCCTTTGCCTCAGTGGCCATCTGCTTTTTGATTTGTGTTGCTGTGCTCCCAAAACTCCTTCCCTCCCTTATATTCTATTGGCGACCCCTCAGAAATTTAAAGCACAGTCTTCCATTTGGGAGAAAATGTGAACTCTGGAAGTTTTTCATTGCTGATGAGGAAATATAGTAGCAGGTGGATTAAACTAAATTCCCTGAGTATGAGTTTTTAATTCCCTAATTCCCTGACATGGAGTGATTTCATTGAAGAGATTGATTTAATCTCTTGCAGTTGATGGATAAACTATTCGTAAAATTTCAAAACACAAATTTGTTCTTTGCTGGGTGACCACCATGTTGGGTACTTGATCCCCTGCGATGCCATTTATTGAGGATTTGCATTTTTATTAAGCTGGGATTGCTAAATCAAAGGTGCTTTTGTGTCTGTGCCATCTGTATCCAGCTATACGTGCACCCCGTGATCTGACATAGTCAAATAACTGAATCACTTTCATTTTAAACACACTACTTCATAAAAGGGTGTCTATATTGCCTGCAGCTAACATGGTGTATTCCTATAACCCTGAGAATTAAGATTATAGGACATGACTCACTTTATAGTTAAAAATGGAGGGAAATGTCTAAAAGGCATAAAATTCAGAGGTAAGCCTCTATACCTTGATGTACAAAGATTGCTTTAATGCATCCAGTTGCAAAATGTAAAAGTTCTATTATCAGTAAATTAGCTTTGTGTTTACTTTTGATAGTTTATTCAGTAGTGTTTTTCATATGTTTAATTATTTTTTATTTTGCTATATTTTAGGGGTGTCAAGCTTCTATTTTTGCTGCTACCTACTTCCAAATATACTCAAAACAAGAGAAATTTGGACCGATTTTTTTAACTGCAGATACTTTATAATCATGATGCATTTTAAAAGTGGACTTGAATTAACGGAGTTGCAAAACATGACAGTGCCTGAGGATGATAACATTAGCAATGACTCCAATGATTTCACCGAAGTAGAAAATGGCCAAATAAATAGGTGAGTATTTTTCCACTAACACTTTCTATCCAATGAAAGAAAGAGCTCTAAAAAATTATTCTGGTTTTTCGTTATTCCCTTGAATTATTCATTACTAAAGTTATGTTTCATGTGAAGATGCAATTTGAATTTCTTATGTGACATCTGTTGGGCATATCTGCAAGAGCAGATGAAGCAAATAGGAAAGTAATTTATTCATCTTTTCAAATCTTTCAGTTGAGTCTAATAAAAATGTATAAATACATTGGACCCCAACCAGGCTCTGTGTTATGAATTAGACAGACTATTGGAGTTTCACTGCAACCCACATCCAAATGTGTACTACAGTCATCTGTACACATTTTCATCAAGAAATGGCCAAAGTTGAATTTGCAAGTGATCCTGTGTTAAAACTATAAGCATGACATCATTATGAGCATCACTTGTAGTGTGGATTTTAAATAATAATAGCAGTTGAGCCCAAGTGGCTCTAGGCACTCTAGTAGAGAGTACATGAGAGAGAAAGAAAAGGAAAGATAGCATTAATGAAAGGAGAAGCAAAGGAGAGGAGGCAGAGCGAGGGTGGGAAGAGCACTGGCCTTGGGTGTTCTCGTCCACTGACTGTGACCTCAGGCAAGTCCTTCCAACTCTTGGGTCTGTGTTTCTTAAGTTACAGGAGTAGAACCAAATATCCTTTTGTTTTTGTTTTTGTTTTTTTGGGTTTTTTTGAGTTGGGAGTCTCACTCTGTTGCCCAGACTGGAGTGCAGTGGCCGCTCCCGGCCACCGCAGCCTCAACCCACTGGGCTCCGGGATCCTTCCGCCTCAGCCTTCCATGTAGCTGGAATTACAGGTGCATGCTACCACACCCGGCTAATTTTTTGATTTATTGTAGAGATGAGGTCTTACCAAGTTGCCCAGGCGGGTCTTGAACCCGCGGGCTCAGGCAATCAACTCACCTCAGCCTCCCAAAGCACAGGATTACAGGCTGAGCCATCGAACCCGGCATCTTTTTTTTTTTTTTTAATAATCTGAGGCATTGATTTTAGAGCCAGTATAGATCCTTAGGAAGAAGCCCTCCAGCTTGGGAGTTAGTGGCACAGTCTCCTAAAAGACTGGGAGGAGAGAATGACGTATACAGGGCTGTTAGAGCACCAACCATGTTAACTCTTTGGGAAAGTCAAAAGGAAATCGGTGTGGGTAAGAACATGGGGTGTCAACTAAGCAGGCATCTGTGTAGAAATCATTTCTGATAGTTCACTCTACATTTTGACAGAGTGTTTAATTGAAAGCTCAGCATAGGAGTTAGCTACCACCGTTCACATATGCTCAGAAGTTTCCACCTCGTCTTTCCTTTTTTTCCTCCCCTAAATGTTCTTAGAGGTTAAGCCCCCAGCCCAGTGACTTTTCCTCATCATCATTCAAGTATTGTTTACTGTGTTTTGTAATAATGTATTAACTACATATGTTTATATCTTTATAATCACCATGCCAAGCAGGTATTCTTCTGCAAATGAGAAAAATATAAAAATTCAGTTTGCAGATAAGGAAGCTGAGGCTCAAAGAAATAAGATAACTTGCCCAATGGTACACATGTCTTTTTTTTTTAACATTTTTAAAAGAATTTTATTCCATTAATACTTATGAGAAAGGAAATATAATTAGCCCAAATTACAGATGAAAAAACAGGCTCACAGAATTAGTAATTTGGCTAAAATATCTGATTAAAACGTGGTAAGATCAAGGATACTAATCTAGACCCTGTAATTCCAGGGTCTTAAAGCAACCCCTATGCTTGATGGTTAGGATACTAACCAGAAGAAAAGTTCAGGATCCAAATGATTGGATTTGTCATACGTCTTTTTAAAACCCACATGTTTCTACTCTATCTTCCTGCCTCTGATTATAATGCTTGGGCATTGGTTGAAAAGCTAGTCTTTAATAGTTCTGTTAAATGCTACCAGTGCCATTTTACACACTGTAGTCTTGGAGTGTTATGTACTCACTGCTGACCACCACTGAACAGTGGAAGGGCGTCTCACCATTTCACAGGTAGGACATTTTAGTTCCATAACAAAGCTTCATTTTTTAAGCAACCTGAACCTCGAGGATGTTAAAGTGAGAGCCATTTTTAATATGCAGTTTAGAATCTAAACTTGACTTGAAAAAGTATCACTTACTGGCCGGGCTTGGTGGCTCGGCCTGTAATCCCAGCACTTTGGGAGGCCGAGGTGAGTGAATCGTCTGAGCCCACTGGTTCGAAACCAGCCCAGGCAACTTGGCAAGACCTCATCTCTACGATAAATAAAAAAAATTAGCTGGACATGGTAGCACGTGCCTATAGTTCTGGCTACTTGGAAGGCTGAGGCAGAAGGATCTCCGGAGCCCAGTAGGTTGATGCTGGGGTGACCATGAGTATGCCACTGCACTTCAGCCTGGGCGACAGAGTGAGACTCCAACTCAAAAAAAATAAAAAAGTCTCACTTAAAATTTTCAGGTTTTGAGGTGATTACCACTTGTGGTAGATGGAATAACACCCATTTTCACCCTGAACTTGGACACCTTGCCCAGATGAGCTCACTTCCCTGTAGACTTCGATGAGGGCATTGAACTGGTATAGAAGGAGGGCTGCTGGGCGTTTTCCACTTGTTTTGCAGAATTTCTTCCACTATTGCTAATGCATTTTGATGAGTTTCTTTCTTTATCTCCCCACCTTCACTGACTCAGTTCATGAATCTTGTTTCATTTCTAGCTCTAGGACAATCAAATTAAAAACAACATGTTAGTCTCATACAGCATGAAGTTAATAAAGGTCAATGAAAATTTTAAAAGATCCCTGCCAATTTTATTTAAACTCCCTGTTGCGTGATCTGGCTTACCATATTGTCGTATTTTAGTAGACCGTGATTTTTACAAAAGTTACAGCTAAATACCCCTTCCTCTTTTGCAGCTTTCGCACATTTGTGGGAGGAAGGTAGGTCCAATCATATGGATCTAAGAAAACCACTCCTTCTCAATCAGTGAATTTCTGGGTAACTGTGGCTCTTTTTAGGAAGCTAGAGAAAATGTTGAAAGCAAATATTAATCTTGAATTATCTGGCATCTAACTGATAGCTCTACCTGGAAACTACCCACTAGATACAAAAAAAAAATTTTTTTTTTAATGTTTAGTTAAAAATAGAGTAGAGCTATTTGGGCATTCAAACACCTGCCCTTATTCCAGTTTAGTTGTTTTATTTCCTGCCCTATTTTTTGAGTTGTAGTCATAGAAACCTATACCTGGAATGGCAAAACCTTTTAAAATGTCCATGAGACCAGTGCTGTAGACTTTTTAATGTGCCTATGAGACACTTGGAAATCTTGTTAAAATGCAGATTCTGTTTCTACTCTGGGTCTGGTGTGGTGCCTGGGATGGAGCCTGAGATTCTGTTTTCTAGCGAACTCCCAAGTGATGTCTCCTTACTGCTGGTCCGTGGATCACACTTTGATCAGCAAGTTCTAGATTCTTCCTATAGATATAAACTTCCTGAGAGAAGGGACCATCTCAATCATCTTTTCATCCCTTTACCTATCATAATGTCTGCTATAGGGTGAACATTACAAATTATTTGTTGGATAAGAGAGAGAGACAGTAATTAAGTTCATGGCTTTGGATTTAGACTTATATTGAATCTTGGCTCTGTCAAAGATCTGATGTGATCTTGTTCTCTGAGCCTCAATCCCATCCCTCTGAGACAGGGATATTAATAATATCTTACTTTATGAGATTATTTGGAAATATTTAATAGAATACTTAAAACTCAGGCTCTGCACTCAGCCTGCTTAGGTTCAAACTCTGCCACAACCGTTTAGTTATTAGTAATGTAACTTTGGTCAAGTTATTTAATTTCTCTAAAATGGAGCTAAAAATAATACCACCCACATGTAATTACTGTGAAAACAGATGAGAAAATCCATGTAAACTACTTGGCAGAGTGTCTGGCAATAGTAAGCCTCTTAGTATGAGAAAAGTCTGTATCAATAAAAATGCAACCCTCTTAGTGTGGCAAGTACTTTTTCTTCACCCCAAGGAGCAACAATAGTGTTTTAGGTTTTCGATGGTTGCTGATTATTGCTACCTTAAATCTAGTGAAATCTTTGTAGACTATCTTAGGTGTATCCAAATATTCTCATATTTTAATATTTATCTACTCTTGTTTTCATTTCTATATAGTTATTGTTGTTATGACCCAGGTATTATTTAATAAAATTTTAGGGTCTTTCATTAAGAGTTGTTCTTCAAAGAATTTGAGGCAACTCTTGTCACTACACCCTGATTTAGCCCTTTTTGGGCGTCTCTTTATACATTTTTAGAGTTCATGGACTAAATTTTTATCACTTGAGAGGACACTTGAAAAGTTATCCTTTCTTTTCTTCTAATATATTTTCCATGTATTAGGGGAAAAAATTCTGTAACTTCTTCCTATATTTATTCTTGTCAGAAAATTCTTTTATTGCTTTAATTGTTCCTGTTATAATTAAAGTCTCTTTTTTCCCTATTTTCAGTGGAATCTGTTCATCAAATAAGGCTTTCCTCACCTTAGTCTCCTCTTTAGATGCCTGTTTCTTTCATTCTTTTTATATGTTTTCCAATCTCTTGTTATTTGCTTCTTCTAATTTTCTTCTCCTGTTTTACAGAGTGTTAGCATTTTGGGTAAAAACCCAGAAAAGGTCATTTAAGTTGAACAAATCATCTCTTTTGTGTTAGGAATCTTAAATGAAACTCTATAATCTACTAAGAACCTGATGGGTAGAGATTAAAATAGGAAGATTATCTTCTTATTGTACAACCTGCCCTTAATTGGATTGTTATTGCTGTTGATCTGTTTTGGGTTTTAAATAACAGTCTTGTATTGCTTGCTTCTCTTCACACTGTACCTCCATATAATGCCTACATTCTTTTTAAGGCTTTGCTGATGCAGGGTCACCAAATCATCCATTGCAGGGTTTGTTTTGTTTTGTTATGTTGACAGAGCAATTGGCTGCCTAATGGTTGATTAAATTCTGCTTTATGGGTACAGACCCATCCAGTGAAAACTTTTTTAATAATATTTTTACCATCCTGAGACCACATGTTAAAAACACTTCTTACATAGCACATTTTAAGTCAATAAAGAGAAGTTTTAAGTCAGTTTTATTGTCAGAGGTCATCTTTTTAACAAGCAATTGCATTTTTAAAATGGTGAGATAACAGAAACTTGTGATAAGTTGTTTGACCTAGTTATTTGCAGTGGAATTTTCTGTTACAAAAAAGGTTGATTTTTATCTGTTTTTTTTTTAAATTTACAGAAATACAAAGCAAAGATTTAAAGACTAAAGAGAAGAAAAATTGAAACATTGTAAAAAGCATAAAGAGGCTTTATGTACTTTGTTTTTATTGAGCTAAATTTCCCTGCAGCCTAAGCTGCTCCTTAATTTCTAAGTAGAAGATACATGTGCAGTTTATGGAGCGCTCCTCTGAGTCACTAATGTGTGGGCAGGTACATCTTAGAAAGAGCTGAGAGACAGAGAGCACTGTACAACCACTATGGATGCAAGAGAAGTTCAATGACACAGTGTGTGCCCCAGGTGAAGTAGTAGGTAGGTCAGAGTCCCAAAACTCCAAACCAGAGTATAAGAAGACTCATGGAAGATGAGGGTTTTATCCTGGCAGGAAGGGATTGGCAGAGAGGAAAACAGGGGCCTCCTTAGGGGAGGGTGGATTCCGACGGCCTTGTTCTTCAGTCCTTGCTCTCAGAATGCACTGGTCTTGTCTCAGTGTTCACCCCCTTTCAGGAGGAGCAGAGGGAGCTAAAATTGGAACATTGAGGCAAAATCAAATTAAGCAGTACCTGGAATTGCAGGGTGAGGAATGTGTACTTGAAACTGATTCAGTGGAGATTTTTGGGAAAATCTATTAAGTCTTGCTGCAGAAAGTGGACCAAAAGAGACAGATCAGCGAAGAACTCTACAGATAAGTTTTAATGTACTTTTTAATGGTTACTCATTAAGACAGGTCTGTCCATCAGTGTCATTATTCCCATTCTGCAGAAGTTCTGCAGGAAAGAGCTGGCAGTCATGCACAGACATTATTCCTCATCCCTCATGTCACAGTGCCTGCATCCCTTTCTTCTCTGCCCATTAATCCTGTGCCACCAACCCTAGGAAGTGTTGCCAGGCCTGGAATTTAGATGTGCTGTAACAGGCTGTTTATTGGTGTTTTGCTTGACTTGTTTGAAAATGTTCAGGTTTTTTTCTTAATTTAAAAATAATGGAAGTTCTCTTTGGAAAACAAGTCCCTCCATAAGAAAGGCAAGTGGGTGATGTGCTGCAGATTTGGTAGACTTTGGTTGATTATTAGAACTATTCTCAGCCTGGTGTGGTACCTCAACTTCATCTGCACAGCCTGACATTCCTACGCTGGTGTTATCTGGAATGATCTTTCCATGCCTGGAGCATCAGCTCCTGCATGTCAGGAGACCAAAGTTTTTCTTCCATATCCTTTTGATCCCTCACAGTCACTGGCAGGTCCCAGGCAAAGGCAGGGTCCCCAGATTGTACAGCTTATACCAACTAATGGTCTCTGAGTAAGTTTGTAGTCGTGTATTGCCTATTTTGATTTATTCTGGTGAATACAAATTTGGAGAAGTAATGAAAAGAGAACCAGATCCCTTGGATTAAAGACGAAAAAGGTAGAGAAATAAAATCAACATTAATGACACATGTTTCATTTAAAAATATTTTATTGTGAAATACAGCACCATTCAGAAAAATGTTTGAAATATAATTACAATTTAAAGATATGTGTGTCTTTAAAATAGTCCAGTTCAAGTGGTTTTATTTTTATTAATGAAAAATCGACTGTGATGAGTTCTTCCCATGACCAGATAATTGAATTTCCAGACCTAGAAGAGCCAAAAAGCATTCCTAACGTGTCTTACTAATACATGCAGCAGTTTGCCTATGCATAAACTTTTCTTTGACAAAACATATTTTTAAATGGAGAATTTTCAAAAATTAGAAATGTAGGTCATAAAGCTCTAATATTAACCCCAAATACATTTGATCGTTCTTCGAGATTTTTGAATTCTTCTGTATATTTCATACATAGCTTACTTACTCCATTCAGCTGCCTGAATTGTTCCCATCCCAACTCATGTCCCACTTTCCCAATGAAGAGGAATGACTAATATCTATTGCTCTTATGCGGTGCTGGGTGCTGGACTGATGCTGAATATGTCCTCTCATTTAATTATTCAATAACCTAATTAGATAGTGTAGTAGTAATACTCCCATTTCACAGATGGGGAAACTAAAGTAGTATGTCCAGGCCATCCGAGCTAGTGAGGATTTAGTTCTAAATCCAATCCTTCCTTCCTTTTTTTTTTTTTTTTTGAGTTGGAATCTCACTCTGTCGCCCAGACTGGAGTGCAGTGGCCGCTCTGGGCCACCGCAGCCTCTACCTGCTGGGCTCTGGCGATCCTTCTGCCTCAGCCTTCCAAGTAGCTGGAACTACAGGCGTGCGCTACCACGCCCAGCTAATTTTTTTATTTATTGTAGAGATGAGGTCTCGCCAAGTTGCCCAGGCGGGTCTCGAACCCGCGGGCTCAGGCAATCCACTCACCTCAGCCTCCTAAGGCGCGGGATTACAGGCTGAGCCACCGAGCCCGGCGTTCCTTCCATTTTTTAATCAGGGTCTCACTCTGTCACCCAGACTGGAGTGCAGTGGCACACTCACGGCTCACCACAGCCTCAGATTCCAAGACTCAAGTAATCCTCTCTTTTCAGTCAGCCTCCCAAGTAACTGGGATTATAGGCACGTGTCACCATGCCCAGCTAATTTTTAAGTTTTTTTGTAGCAACAAAGTCTCACTGTGTTGCCCAGGCTGGGCTCAAGCAAACTTCCCACCTCCGTCTCCCAAAGTGCTGGAATGCCTGCCTTAAGTCTCATGCTTTATTAAAGCTCTGCATCTGACCCTAACCATCGACCATAGGCCCTGCCTCCCCTCAACATAACTTCCTGATCTGATCTGAACTCCTGCAGCCTACTGCATCCCTTATCACATTCCTCCCATATTTCCTTATCGCCTGTTCCAGTGCTTGCATATAGCAGGTACTGAAGGAATGTTTGATGAGGAAACAGTTTTTTTCTTTTTTTGTGAGGGAGAGGGAGCTCCTACTTAATAACTTCGTACTCCAAGAACATAAGCTTAGAAGGAAATCTGACTCCAGTATTTTAATCGGTATTAAAAATTATCTTGGCCAGGCACCGTGGCTCAAGCCTGTAATCCCAGCACTTTGGGAAACCGAGGTGAAAGGATTGCCTGAGCTCAGGGGTTCGAGACCAGCCTGGGCAACTTGGCAAGACCTCGTCTCTACCATAAATCAAAAAATTAGCCGGGTGTGGTGGCGCACACCTGTGGTTCCAGCTACTTGAAAGACTGAGGCGGAAGGATCACCTGAACCCAGCAGGTCGGGGCTGCAGTGGCTGTGAGTGTGCCACCGCACTCCAGCCTGGGCAACATAGTGAGACTCGGGCTCAAAAAATAAAAATTTAAAATAAATTTTTAAAAATTATCTTATATTGTACATAATGTTTACATTGATTACTAAAACAATTCCAAATGTATAGCATTTTAACTTATGGTTGCCATTGATTACAACTCAAGATGAGCACCTATCATTGGCATTGTTTTGTACTAGGTAGAGTGAAGAATTTAACAATGAATGAGGCAAAGCACTTGCCCTTGGGGCACTTATAGTTTATTTGGTAAAACAAGAATGTAGACAACTAATATAGATTGAGTGGGGAGGAAAGGAGGTGGTGGTTGAATAGGGCTATAAACTCTTAAGGAACCAACCGATAGCTTTCACATATATTTTAGTAATGATGTCAAGTTATGATGTTAGTCATGATGTTAAGCTTCAAATTATTATCTTGAAATTAAATGTATTCTGCCTATCTTTACAGCAAGTTTATTTCTGATCGTGAAAGTAGAAGAAGTCTCACAAACAGCCATTTGGAAAAAAAGAAATGTGATGACTATGTAAGTAACATTATAATAAAAAGTATGCTTATTTTTTAAATCACATCAATTGGGACAGATGTTTTTCATTCATGTAGCATAGTACCCAAAAGCATAACTACTTATGTTCACAAGGATGTTTTTCATGGCTTATGTATTTTCTCCTGAAACTCATTTTTAAAAAAAACCTCTATCATTAAGAAAGGATTTCTTGAATTTTCTTTTCCTGTTGGTTCCTAATAGTGCTTTAAAGGCTTTGGGTTGATGAACTTTCTTAAATGTCTGTTTCTTTGTTCAGATTCCAGGAACAACCTCCTTGGGTATGTCTGTTTTTAACCTAAGCAACGCCATTATGGGCAGTGGGATTTTGGGACTTGCTTTTGCCCTGGCAAACACTGGAATCCTACTTTTTCTGTGAGTATTGACATGTCAGTACTTTCCATTTTAAAACTGAATTTTCTGTATGTTTCCATTATTATACAGAAGAAATAGGAAATACTTCTAAATAGTTTATATTTCTTTTTTAAAAAATTAACTTGGTGAAGTTACCAGTACATACTTACATATTTATTGCTTGAATGTGCCTAATGCCAAAATGTGCCTAATGCTTATGAGAAAGAGGAAGGAGAAAATCTTTTTATTAATCAAAAATACTGAAATAAGCATTTTTAAGGAGGTTTAAACATTTGAAAATAGCTTCTTTTTTTTTTTTTTGGTACCTTTGGACTCCTTACCTGTCACTTAAAATCTCAGTTAAATAGACAAAATATTAAGAGGTATGTATGTAGTCCACCCAATCACCACTTTAGTATTTGGATTGCTGTGTAAAGCATGTACTATCTCCAAAGGTAATTACAAATTTGTTTGCAATGAATATTCAAGAAGCATGGAAATTTTCAGCATTTTAAAGATGAGAAATTAGCATGTATTTTCCCTCTGAGATTCAGTGAAGAAAAAATGGGCAATTTTCTTTTTAAATAAGTTCATCTTAAACTGTTGAGTGGGACTTTCTACAAATGTACAGAGGGCTTATTTTATGTTGGAATAAGATTAAGACAGATCATAGAATTTGTACTAGGAAAATTCTCACCAGCCTGATTCTCCAATCAAATTTACAGACGTGTCAATGGTGAGGCCAGGGGAAAGCCTCATGTCCCAGGATCTTACGGTTTCTTCCCTGGCTTGAAACTCATGCTCTCCATTGGTCTTGTTGCGGTGCCCTTTTGACAGGAGTATCATTTCCTTGGAAGCAGGGATTAAAATGGATGCTAATACTACAAATGGTATTTCTTTCAAAAGAACATTGAAAACTGAGATGATGCAGGAACATTACTACTCATTCCATTAGCAGGAAACAAACACCCATCCATGCTGTGCCATGTTAGGGATTATTATTCTTACTTTCGGGTGTAAATCCACTAATGTGTCCTTCCTGCAGTTAAAAGACTATATAGGACAGTGAATTCAATAAATTTTCTTCCATATTGTCAACGGAATTGGTCAAAATAATTCTATGATTTTTTTTGTTTGTTTCTTTTTCTTTTTGTGAAACTTTGATTCTCTGTGGATACTGCAGACACAGCTTGGTGCTACACTTCTGATTTTCAGTGAATTGACATAAGACACCTGAGTGTTAGTCCCACCTCCTTTTCTAAATAGCTATGTGGTGTTCAGCAAGTTACTTAGCCATCCTGAGCTTCTGTTTTCTCCTTTTTTTTTTTTTTTTTTGAGTCAGAGTCTCACTCTGTCACTCAGGCTGGAGTGCAGTGGCACACTTGTGGCCACCACAGCCTCGACCTGCTGGACTCAGGAGATCCTTCTGCCTCAGTATTCCAAGTAGCTGGAATTACAGGCACATGTCACCAGGCCCAGCTAAGTTTTCTCCTTTTTTAAAACAAGGAAGTTGCACAAGAACAATCTCAGGACCCTGCCAACCTCTAAAACCCTATGGTTCTATGACTACGTTTAGTCATTCCAAAGCTGGAATAATATATTACATTTATTTCTTTGTTTTTAAGTGATTGTGGTAGAACAAGTTACATATGTTTAACATAGTGTAAAGAGTCAATTCTTTGATGAGAAGAACAATTGTTTTAGCTCTTACTTTGTGCCATGTTCTACTCTAGGCATTTTATGCTGAATCCTTATAACTCTGTGAAGAGGTACTATTGTTAGTTCCCTGTTTCACAGATAAGGGAACTGAGGCATCGAGAATAACTTTTATTTTGCAATCTCTCTTGGTAACCATTTCGAGGATTTCCTTTACTTCTCTTCTTTGCTAGATCCCTTGTTTCCTGTATCCCGTGTCTTCATATTTCTGGACTTATTACTTCCTTGCTATTACTGCCAAGATAAGGCGAATGAAAATAAACTTTTTGAGACCTTCATGTCTGAAAAATGCTTTTTCTTCCTTTACCTTTAATTGGTAGTTTGGCTAGATATAGAACTCTATATTGGCAATAATTTTCCTTCAGAATTTTGAAGGTATTGTTCCATTGCTTTCTAGCTTTTTCTGTTGTGAAGTCCAGTATGCTTCTGATTCCTGATCTTTTATAATATATAGCCAGGTTGTTTGTTCCTTTTTTCTGGAAACTTGTCAAATCCCTTTGTTCCCAATGTCCTGCAGTTTCACAATGATGGGCCTTGATGTGGACCTGATTTTATCAATTTTGTCAGGCAGTCAGTACATCCTTTTCTTTTTAGAAATCCATGGCCTTCAGTTTTGGGAAATTTTCTCACGTTATTGTGTTAGTGAATTCCGTCCTTCCATTTCTCTTTCTTCTCTTTCTGAAAACGATTAGTCAGATTTTGGACCTTGTGGACTAGTCCTCTAATTTTTAGGTCTTTACTTTCATTTTATAATATTTCATTGTACTGTTTAGATTATGTCCTCAATCTCCCCCCAACTCTTCACTGAATGTTTTATTTCTGTTATTATTTTTTTATTTATAGTAACTTGTTAAAAAATCTCTGAATGTCCCTTTTCATGTTATTTTGGTTTTATTTTATGATTTCAGTGTCATCTCTGAGGATTCTTTTTTTTTTTTGAGTTGGAGTCTCACTCAGTCGCCCAGACTGGAGTGCAGTGGCCGCTTCCGGCCACCGCAGCCTCGACCTACTGGGCTCTGGCGATCCTTCCGCTTCAGCCTTCCAAGTAGCCGGAATTACAGGCGCGCGCTACCTACGCCCGGCTGATTTTTTGATTTATTGTAGAGATGAGGTCTCACTGCCCAGGCGGGTCTCGAACCCACGGGCATCAGGCAATCCACTCACCTCAGCCTCCCAAAGGCGCGGGATTACAGGCTGAGCCACCGAGCCCAGCATCTCTGAGGATTCTAATCATAGTTCTTAATTATAGTTTTTCTCCATTATGGAAAATTTCATGTTCCCTTTATAAAATGATGATGGTTCCCACGGATGCTTGTTTAGTCAACCCCAACCCAGATTGTCTTGAAGCAAATTCCAACTATCATATCATTTCATCCATAAATATTTCAGTATGTACCTCTAAAATATGACTCCTAGAACATAATCTTAATATGTTATACCTAGAAACAATAATTCCTTAATATCATCAGATACAACCAATATTTAAATTGTTCTGATTATCTTATATATATTTCAAACAGTTGGGTTATTCAAACCAACAGTCAAATAGGTGCAGTTGGTTGTTTTGTGTTTTAAGTCTTTCTGAATCTGTATTCTCCCATCTCTTTCTCCTTTTTTTCTGTGCAATTTATGTAAGAAACTAAGCCATTTTTTCTATAAAGTTTCCCACAACCTATATTTTGCTGATTGTATCCCTGTATCCCTGTGATAAAGTTGATTTTTTTTTTGTTTGCTTTGGACTCTGTCTTTCACTCTAGATGCTTTTCTCAGATGTCAGATGGTTCTTCCTTTGTCTGCCATCTTCAGGGGAAAAATAAGGCTGACTTGAGCCTAGTGAGCATGAGTGGGACTCATTGGCAGTAGCTTCACTTAAGATGCTCTCAGTAAAACATTACTTAGGAACCACCAGTGTTAGTTTCTCTAGGACCCTCCTCTTGACTGTTCAGATCACCTAAAGAAGAGTTTCCAATCCCCTGCCTGGATAATCTGGGCCTGGTCGCCATTTTTCTGGAAACCAAGTTGAGGGAAAGGGTTGGGAGAACTATCCCCGCAGGCATGTGTTCACCTAATTCCCAGTTTTCATTGAAGTAACCCGCTTCCCCACAAATGCCTAGTCCCTCACCCAGAGACCTTTATTTTATACTCTCCAAAGAATATATCTTCAGACTTGCAGGATAGAAAAGGAGCAACCACTCAGGGAGTAGGACCTGGCCTGGGAAATCTATGTATTTCTTGAAAGAAGTTCAACAGATTCTACCTATTTTAACTTACTCTTTTCATTGTTCTCTACTTCCAATAACACCAGCAGAAACTTTTAGGGATTCTGTGGTATAAATTGGGCTGGTCTTGGCTTTCTCCACTGCCAGTTTAAGCTTCAGTTTTGTCTACTTTCCAGCTTCTAAAATGTCATTATTGTTGTCTATTCCCATGTTCCGACTATCCTAGCAGCTTATGCCTAAGGGAAGCAGAAAAAGCCCTTTACTGGGATATTAAGGACACGGAAGTAAGTTCTTGTATTCAAACTACTATTTCTGGAATTCGATCGATTTTTAATTATATTGACTGCAGGATAGTTGATCTCCTATCTCATGACTAGCTTCGGATTAAAGCAAATAATTGGATAAACTTGGCTTTTATAGTTGAAGGAAGATTTCCCCAGGATGAAACTATTGTAGAACACTTAGTTATTTGCAAGAGGCTTGAATGGCAGGCACAACACACCTAAATCTTCAGGTTAAAGCTCATGAAGCTAGTTGTATAAAACTCAAACTTTAAGTTTTTCATACAACTTAGAACTCTCCCACCTCAGAACAAGGACTCACTCTGTGACTGTTGTAAAACCAGCTGCTCCCACAGCTGCTCAAAGCCAAGAAGCAGTTGGCAGGATCAAGATATTTCATCTGGTGCAGGGCTCTGTTCCAGGGTCATATTGGCCAACATGGAAAAGGAGTCCAAGGCTGTCCAGGCTTCTTTAGACAAGCAGTTGGGAAGGCTCCTCTGTGTCTCACTGAGGTTGGGTGTGGAGCCTTCTCTGGAGTCATCTGGAAGCTTGTTGGTGTGATTTTTTTTTTTTTCTTGGATGAGTTTGGGGCTCTTTTCTTCACCTAACCATAATGGCTGTCATCCCTGTTTAACACACTTCTAGTTCAGTTAGATTCAGTGAATCTTGCTCTATTTTAAGAATACCATTAGATTTTGTATTTTCTTGAATTCTAAGTATGCTGGTTGGGAATGTCAATTTACAATTGTTCTGAAAGTATATATTCTCCATGGGAAACAAAGTGGAATTGTACCCTGGCGCAGCA